TAAAGACCCAAGAACTGCTCAGGTAACAAAAAGGAAACCCTAGCTGATCATGTATTGAATAACTTTAAATATTATCCATCAGGTCCTTCCTTTGCTTTGTCACTTTTCTAATGTGGCTGATCTGTTTTAAATCTATGACAATGCTTCTTGCTGAAAAACACTCTAATACTCAGAAAAGCTTAAATTAAAACATCTGTGCTCCAGGGCAGTGACAGAATCAAAACTTCTACATAGTCACACACAAAAAAAGGAAAAAAAAATCTTTTCATTGGAAAATCAAAACATTCAGAAAATACATGATAAGTAAAAATGAAAGAATTACAAAGAAAGAAATAAAAAGAGAGCATTTTTAGCAAACATATATTTTTTATCCTTGGCTTACTCTTGAGCAGAATCTTAACCCATATTTGCTAACAGATACCAATGGAGTTACCGGATGATCTTATATAAGGAGCTAAGACCACACTGTAGTTCTGCAAGAGAAAATAGAGAGATAAGGTTCTAAGAATGCCACCTCTAAAAAAAATAAGAAAATGCAACTGGTTTATATATTTAGAAAAGTGGCATAAGAATCAGCCATGAATGAGTTTGTGTCATGTGAGACGAGCTACAAGAGAGATGGCTGAATGACAGCAAAGCAGCTGGATTGCTGCTTGCACTGCCCTGTGCTTATTAAACACTTCCCAGAATCTTTCATTTCTGCTGCTGCTGCCTGCAAGCAGGATTTCCACAAAGCTTAGAAAGACTAACAGTTTGTGTAGGTATTTGAAAATATATACGGGATATATAACCTTAGCTCCAAGTAATGGAAACTTCTATCTCCCGAGACTCCTAAAATCCTGTGCTACTAAAAGCACAGTCAATCCACTCTAGCATCTTCTTTAGTCTCCTGAGGATCAAATATTCTGCCTTCACAAGAATGCATGTACAAATTCATCATTAATGATTAAGTCTTCAACTGACACTAATTAGTTTCAACTATCTGTGTGCTCAGCAGGCCCGACCTACTTCACAGTTCTGCTTCATTAGTGCTGGCAGCTTAAAACAACATCAGTAAAAATTATATTGACCAACAGTGACCAGCCCCTCAGTGCAGGAACCACTGAAGGCAGCGAGAGCCTCCCCACTGATTTTAATAAGAACCACAGTAAAGCCCAAAGGCACAGAGAGAGGTAACGTAGTGGCAAAAGTCATCTCCCACCAGCATCAAGTGACAAAAGCAACAGCAAAAGGGAAAACCAAACCTGCAGTTCATTTATTTAGCACAGGCCTGTGATGCTGTGCTGTGAAATGCCAACACCACAGAGGGAGCTCAGGCTTAAGCACAGAAGCAATTTGCAAGCTTTGTACTTCAAGGATATCAATTCAGCCAGTCACTGGGGAGCAGCAGTGAACCTCAGGATAAATTCGGAGCTGTGCAGAACAACATTTGGACAAACAGAAGGGAAAGGCAGAGTGCTTGGCCATGACAAGCAGTGTCCAAAGAAACTTGGCAAAGGCACACACTCAGCAGGGTGGCACCGAATGCACAGCTCCACATCTTCACATGGTGGAACCACACAGTAAATTAAGCCACAGCTTTAAGCACCATGGGCATGCCTTGAGACACTTTCAATGCAAACCAGCTTCCATATGCAGAAGCTGTTATCCTCAGTAATGTATCTATTTATCAAGAGCTAAAACATCTAACCACAACTATGAACACAACTTAAAACCATGTCCCCTGACACCTTTAAGTTTAAAAACACATAAGTAGTTAAGATTACATTAGAAGCTAAAGCTAGGCTGCAGCTGGAATAGTCACAGGGATTTTATACCAGACATGTTTTTTCCCCACTAGAAGGTTGAATACCTCTTCTATCAGGAGTCAGATTTATTACTTGTGGTGGATGTGTTGCACACATGTAACCAAGTCTTCCAATGGCATTTGGACAGATGCTGAAGTTCTCTTAGATATCTAAGATACCTTTTTAAGCAAGACAGACTTAAAACCTGTAGTAAAAGAATTGTTAGTCTTAGCACCACCACACTGGAAGAAAGAAATTCCATTTGTTTAGAACATATAAGGAACATAAAAGCTTTCAGTTCTGTATTTGATGCTTTTGCAAGGAAAAGAAAACCCAAACAAAACAAAAAAACAATATCCCACATACACAGGCACACACAAAACCCCCAAAATAAACACATAAACCAACCACCAGAGCACAAGCAGAAGAAACAAAGCATTTGCTGCTAGAAGGGAAATAAGAGCAAAATGTGTCACAGCAATTCTATTTGAAGTGATTAAAAAAAGAAAAGCAAAAGCTCCCTTGTGACAGTGCTGGTGACAATGGCTTGCTAGGTTACAGCAGTAAAGAATCCAGGGAAAAGAGCCACAGAAGACCAAAAAAAACCAGCAAAACAAGAAGCATTTTATATCCCCAAGAAGCCACCAAGGCATTACCCAGCCATGTGAATCTGATGTCCTCTGTGACTACCACAAAATTTGGCAAGTCCTCCTCCACAGCAGCACCTGTATTTGATGAACCAGCTCCTTGCTCCTGTTGAAGATCCTCCTTGACAGCATTTGCCAGATTCCTGCACTCACTCCAGCAGAGTGCAGAGGTCTTGGACATCAAGTGCTCCCTTAGGGCCCTTGAAATCAGGACACACCTTCCCGTTAAAGTGTTTGGATTGTGTTTATTAACTTCAGGAACTCTTCAGGAGAACACGGCCTAAACCATTTTCTTCTGATCTCATTCCGCATTCCCACTCTCCAAACAATCCCATCACTTACACTGCCACACCGCTTTGTCTCATTGTGGAACAAAAAACACAGGTTAACAACAATGCTGATAAAACCCAGCTTTCCCTTGAACAGAATGATTCCCCTAACTTGTGCTTCCACAAGTGAGGAGGCTAAGAGCTAGGGCCATGGAGATACAACATGGCAGGGGCTAAACTTGCCCTGTCTGCTTGTCAAACTAGGTTTTAGTGAATCCGTACGACTTCTTCAAGTCATGAAACAGATCAGATATTTTCTGTACTGCACTCTGCAAATTAAACTTACTTCGTTTTATTTAATTTGTATAAATGAGTACATTGGAAAGATCAGATCCTCAGCAGGGATATAACATAAGTAATCAGCTTTTGTCTGGCCTCTCTGGAATTAGAGATTTGCAGCAACTGAGAACCTCCTCTGAGAAGACAGACTGTGCTGACACTAAACTACCCAAAAGGCCATTATCAAACAATCACAGGATTTATATTAGTTCAGAGGAAGATGTCTAACTTTTTTGACTTCTCTATAGATTTAAGTGAACTGTCTTCTCATTCAAACAAAAATTTTATTACAGGAGATGCCCAGGGAGAATTTTCAGCTCACTTTCTGACTTCGGTGCAACGCAAAATTCATTTACCAATGAAGGTGCTGCAGGGAAACTGGAACAGATGGCCGGTCTGCAGGACCCCAGGAAGGCATGACACACTTAAAGGGCTCATTTGTTAAAGACACTTGGAAAAGTACCCCGTCTGCAGGAAACTAATAGGCCAGTGAGAATTTATTTTCATGATAAAATGCTTTTAAACTGTATGTCCTTGTCTAGTTTTCTTTCAGGGATGGATTTCTGTAAGAGTCAGACTGACCATAATAGAACAGCCATAACAAAGCAAGACTGGCTGTTCTGGGCAGATAATAGTAAATACTGTGAGTCATCCTCCCCAGAACTGGTATGTGAAGCTCAGAGTTCTTTCTCTGTCATTATTCTCATGAAGAGGCACACATCCCTAACTTGTGAATGCAGGAAATACCCAAACACTATCCATAGACTCTTTTATTACCATGGAATACATTCCAGCTGAGTTTGCATGGTTGTCAGTTAGAAACATTAGCATTTTCCCTGGAACATGAAAATATTTCATCTGAGATCATGGACATAAAAACACAAATCTGGAGCCTCATTATGACATCTTAATCCCTTTCCACAACACAAACAGCCCTCACATAACTTAAACATGTGATCATGACAGAAACCAGGACTGCATTTTCTGGGCTAGAAAAGAATGGCAAAGAAAAGGGGAGTTCTTCATGGTTTAACAAAATTCACATTGCTAGCTTTATTGCATCAATGAATAAATACATATGCAGCTCACTGGGTAAGACCTAACTCAGAGAAAACCAATTAAAATTGAAAATTTCCCTTACTAAAACAAGAGAATGGTCATTAGCTAAGAAACACTACAGCAGTGTCCCCACTGTGTAGGGTCCTCCACTGCCAGAGGATCAACTTGCACCCCAAGCCATCACTTTGAGGGCTGACAGAGCAGTTTAAACACCTGAACATTTCATTTCCAAAAATAGGCTTCTCAGCCTTTTTTCAAACTGTGAAATGGCTCAGCTATTTCTAAATGCCACTGAATCAAATGCAGTGACATGTGTGGAGAGACACTGTGACAGTAACCTTCACCATCTCTGAGTGTGTTTGGCTTTTCTTTTTTCCTCTCAGCAAGGCTTAATCTCACTGTCTGGCTGAACGTTAATCCTCTTTCACCAAGTCCCAAATTAATGCTTGCTGCATTAAGATACTGCAAATCCTCAAGGTATAAATTACACCCAGTTCAGTATAAAAGGAAAGCACAGGGCTTTCTTCTCACTACAGCTGGTACTTCCAGGCAGGCAACTGGAATACAGGTACGTTTCCATCAGATCCTGATGTATAATTTTTTTTTTTTCATATTGCAAACTCTTAAAGTAATTAATTGCTTCTGAAAAAACATACTTTGCTCTTTTCTCTCTCTTGCTTCTTTTTCTTTGTCCTTACAGACAAGACACATACTCCCTCTAGAAACTTAGATAAAAACGTTTCATTGGAAGTGGTATGGTATTCTGCTATTATTATCATTTTGCAGAGATTGCTGACATGCCATTTCCATTGCTTAGGAAAATCAAACTCCTTGAGCAGTAAACAGAAGGAAGATCTATCTCATGTCTGTTTTCACTGCTGATTCTGAACCAGTTATGATGATGTTGTTATAGAACCAGTTGAGGATAAAGCAGAGTCTCCATTTCTCCCTGCTTCTCTAACTATTTCCTGTTGAAAATAACCATACATGTTGCTCCAGCTGAGATATATTTTTTGCTTTACAGACAGCATGAAGACACTTAATTGCTATGTGCTGTTCCTTTGCTGGAAAGCAATTTGCTGCAACAGCTGCCAGCTCACCAATATCACCATAGCTGTGGAAAGAGAAGAATGTGAATTCTGTATTACAGTGAATGCCACGTGGTGCTCAGGATACTGCTTCACCAGGGTGAGACTCTTCATTTCAGGCACCAGAATTAAATATTTCAAGTGATGGATGGATAGATAGCCCATTCCTGCAGCCCATAGCAAACTACGGGCAGGATGAGCCTTGTGAAAAACAGGCTGAATAACTGAGTAACACAAGAGTAGGTTCACAGCCAATCTGAAGCACAGACAGAAGGGTGAAATAGTGTGGTAAAAATTCAGTTAATTAACTGGCTGCATGTATTATGTTAATAGTATAACCAGAGTTAGAATTACAGTCTGGATCTCTGCTTTGTGCTCAGTTTGTGGGTGCAAGCAGATACAATACAGAAGCCATTATTATGCAGACCCCTCTGCTCTTTCAAAGAATTTAAAGAATCAAGCAATTGATATTAAAGATTGTCTGGTGATGCTATGACACAAATTTGCTCTTTCAGTCCTCCTGAAAGGGGAAATTTAAAGATGAAATTAGAGTCAGACCCAAATGCTTTTGGATCTTAGTGGGATTTTCCCGTTTTATACAAATTTTGAAATCTACCCCATAGCCACTTTTAAAATAGTTAATCCCTTCTTGTAATTTCAGGATCCAGTATATAAATATCCTCCAGTATCAACTGCTCAGCAAACCTGTACCTTCAAGGAGGTTGTGTATGAAACAGTGAAGATCCCTGGCTGTGGTGACCACCCTGAATCCTTTTACTCATACCCAGTAGCTACAGAATGCCACTGTGACACCTGTGACACTGACACCACTGACTGCACTGTCAGGGGGCTGGGGCCATCCTACTGTTCCTTCAGCCACAATGGAAGTAACCAGTGAGGGGCACTGGCGACAGCAGTTGGCTCTAAATGTCCCCTGCTAACTAAAGGCACTGTTCAGGTTTCAATGGAAGGTAGCAGGCTATGCTAGTTAGAAACTACCAAGACTGAAACAAAGATTTTTAAGGCCAAAATGAAGAGCTACTGACTGAACTCATCTTCATGCCTTCCTTACTTAACCCATCAGCTGCCTTAAAAGCATTTTCACAGGTCTTTGAAAAATGCCACTTGCAATCTCTTCTGCCTTTCCCCCCTCTTCCTCTTTATCACAACTTCGTTATTTATATTCCTGTATTTCCACTCCCTGGTTCACAGAGATTATTCTATGCTATTCTGTGCTCTCAAAAAGTTCCCAAGTTTCAAGTCTTTATAATCTCCTGCTTTTCATCTCTCCTAAGCTCACACTTATTTTTCAAAGCCTTGCTGCTGGTTGTGGCTCTATTAGCTGGACTGTAAACATCTCTCAGCTGAAATCCTGACTGATTTTTTCTTTGCATTATGTTTCACATAGTCATTATGCTCTGCCAATAATAACAGCGGGTATCCTTAAGAGCCGAAATCTGTTTTCAGATGTTGAATGCCACCTGAATTCTTGTACTTTCAGTAAGGCTTGTTAGCTCACACCAACACAAGTAACATGAACTCTGCTTTGTACCTGGCTAACTTGAAGAAATCATCAGCTCTCTATTTTCACCTGAGTGCAGAATGTAGTGAACAGAAATGTTTAGCATTATTTAACACAGGAGGCTCAAAAATTGTTTAGGGATGCATCCAGAGGCACCTGACCCCAGTAGTGCAGACATGGTGTGCTAATGTGCCTTGAGAGCCGTTCACAGGAGTCCCTTCAGAGAATGGAAGTTTACAGAACCCTGCAGCAACCTAACTCTGCAAATGCCAGGATGAAGTTGGGATGGTCTGGAAATGAGCTGGAGGACTGACTGAATAAGCATGGGAAATTAACTCATGTTATTGTGAGAATTCTATGACGCCTACAGAATGAGTTCCTATAGGGAAAATGAAACCACACAATTCTTCACCAGAAAAATCCCCTGCACAGCATGGAAACAGTGGATCCTGCAGCAGTTTGGCACTGCAGGCTTGGTGGTGCCAACACCATCCAACAGCATCCCAGTGCTGCAGGAAAGTGGGAGCGCAAGGAGCACAGCCTACAAGACACAAGCTACCTCCACCACTCAGCTCTGCACGGCAGGGCCTTGGCTGAGTGGTTATTTGTGACAGAACTTCAGAGCGTGGAAAAACCAGAGAAAACCCTCACAAGAAGAATAAGGATGGAGAGAGGCCTAAAAAAATCATCTTAGGAGAAAAAGATTTATTTAAATGTTGTCGTTTTGCTTAGGGGGAACATCAGCAGAACATTTTACATGCTTGAAGACTGTTACACAGAGGAGAACAGTTCAGTTCTCCATGTCCAAAGAGAGCAGAACAACTGATGAAAGATTCAGAGTAGCCACTAGCAAATCTTCTGAAAGCTACAGACACTGCAATAAGCTGTCAGGGGCTGGGAGAAGGAGGGAGGGAATAAAGGAAGGGTGCAGGGGCTGTGGGTCAGTGACCAGCACAGGTCTCCCAGAACACCTGGAACCTGTCGGGAATGACAGGCAAAGCTCATTCAGCACGAGGCAGGACAATGAAGGAGGAGTTATCTGGCATGTCTGCTTTTGAGAGCATTACAGATGTGCTTATTTAAGGAGGATTTGCCTGAATCTACTCTGAATCTGTCTTGTAATAGATAATAGATATTTTAACTTACGTAGTTTTTAGCTTTTTTACTAAAAGGTTTTCATTCTCTTGATTTTATTTATAAGATTTATATGCATTTTCTTTGGTTTAGTGGAGCTTTAAAAGTGGTAAAGTAATGGATAAATCACACTGAGGCTCACTAATTTCAATTTTAAACATGAGTCAATTTCAGTTAAAACTAAGCATCTTATTATTATCAGCAATTATTCCATTCTAAATGAGAGAATTTTGAACTGCAATTGCAAAACAAAGTAGCCTGTAGAAAAAAAGTATGTAAAAAAGTATGTTTTCAAAATAGATCTGTATTGTCTCTTGTGCATTTTCAAATAATAAAAAAATTTATTGCACTTCTGTTATGAGTCTTCATAAGCCAATTTTTAAAACTTAAAAGTCTACTTACCAACTTTATTATGCTTTAAATTGCATGGTTTTTTCTTCCTCTCATAACTTTTCCCATGTAACTAGTACAGCCACTAGAGCCATATATGCATTATATGGCCAAAGTATATCAAATATTTTCGCCTGACCCAGTAATATAATAATGAAATATTACATAGTAGCAATATCGGAGTAGTATGGATAAAAATAGTACATTATCTTATTTAAATTGCAGACATTAGAACCTGTCCAGAGCTGTGCTCACATCTGTCACAAATTATATTGAATGCAAAACCTAAAATCATACAGGTCTCATTTTATCCATCAGACAAATGCACCACAATTTTCATTTTGCAAAAAAAACTACCCAGAACTTCCTAAAGAAGGCTGGTTATACCTAAAGGTATCTTAGCCTACATTTGATAGCTTGTAAGACAGACTTTATCTTTTTTAAAGTTCAATTTCCATTGAATGCCCAATAATTTCATTAAACTTAGCTTTACATCAGTGTTTCTCCAAAGTTTTAGTGAAGGTACACACATGCCATGAATATCAGTACAGTCTGGCATCCAAATCTGCTTCTTATTATTTAAGAAAAATATTTAAGAGGTCATTTTTGTGCTTGTTGTCTAGCTCTGTCAAGATGAATAAATGGGAGTTCTGTCAAAAGGCGAAAGTCTCAGTATGATTTGCTACTCAAAAAGTAAATTGGTGGATAAGCTTTTAGAAATGTTTCCAATACAGTCAGAAGTAGATTTATAAGAACTCCTACCATGGCCGTAACATTTTTTATTGAAATAAATACGTAAAATCAATAGGTTTTACAGGCAGACAAGGAAACACACATTCCTCACCTTGAAGCCATTAATAAAGCATCAACAGAATTAGCATCACTGCACATTTGTCAGTGCTCAGCTATTACTCCCAGCCTAAAGAAATCATTCCTCCTAGCTAAAAACAGGCCTCCACTTGCTTTGTTAATTTATATTTTATATATACAGATATATATATCTGTATATATAAAATACAATTTTATATATACAGATATTTTGTATTAATATTAATATATTAATTTTTTGTTTTATTTATATTATATATATACAGATTTTTTCTATATTACATATATTATCAGTATTTTCTTATATATTATATATATTATATTCATGTTTATTTCTATTTATTTTTATTTATTTATAAATACAGCCCATATAACTGGGCTCTATTTTTTTTGCTTATTTTTGCTTTTTTTTCCTTTTTGCTTATTTTGTATTTTTTCTTATTCAGTCAGACTGTATTTTTTACCACAAGCAAGAAACGTAATCATCCTCTCCCTGTATGAACCCAGCTGGCGAATAAGAATTCACCAGTCATTCACAAATCCTCAGACAAATCCAGCCTGAAGCAGAGGTAATTACAAATGGTGGGAAACAGGAATGTTTTGGAAAAAAAAGAAGCAGCAGCAGCACTGTTGGCTTGCACAGGTCAGCTTGGGGCTGCACTTAACTTAGATATTTAAATGGCAAGGGAAAGTCACTTCAGCATGGTGCTCACATGCAATGCTCCTCTTTCACCCTCCCAACTCAGCAAGGGCATTCAGTTTTGTCACTGTGCAATATTTAGCCACATACTTTATTTTCATTTAAAAAAATAGCCCTGGCATCTTACTCAAAACTAGTGAAAAACCCGAAAAAACAGCTGAACAGCTAATCTGAAAAATTCATTTGTAGAGGGCAGCCTTGAGATTAGTGGCTCCCCTGCACTCAAGCAATGGGATCTATAACATTTTTCTGGGTCTCTCATGTTTCCCTTCAATTTATGTTATTACCATTAGCTATCAGAGCCTTGGTCTGTCAGCATGACTTATGCTGATAGACATTACAGCAGCTCACAAGGCTACAGTCTGGGAAATAGAGCAAGTGAGACTGCAGCAGGGTTAGAGAAAGGACATCCTTTTGAGAAATCAAATGTCAGTGTTGCATTCTGTGTAGGTGGGGAAGGCAAAGAATTAGCCACCTATGCGTCACAGCAATTAACCATTGGACCTCTAAATTCAGTAAAAAATATGGCAGGTGGGTCAGATATATTCCTTGCACTGGGTTATTCTGTGTGAAAAGACATTATATAGAAACATTATTCCTGTGACAAAGTAAAGCTAATTATGGACCTAATGTCTGGATTACATTCAGCTGTAGTTGCATTCATTAAATAATCCTAGAGACAGGTATATTATCAAGCCCTAAAATATGTCCTTCTTAAAATGGCAATATTCAAGACATATAAATTAATCTAGCATTACCCAATGGTTTGTAGACAAACCTTTGGATAATTTAACCAATCCAGTTTTCCTCTTCCTTCACGTGTTTACATTTAAAATCTCGTTCAAAAATTATCTTCTCTGTCATGACCTCCTTCTCTCATTACACAATATTCGCAAGACTTGATGGTTTTGTGAATGCTGTGGAAAATCCCAGTCAAAATAATATGATAACAAAGAAAAATAGTCAGCAGGTAGAAATAAAATTTTTGGTTCAGACATTGTCAAAATTTACATCACAGTGAGGCAATGGGTTATAGACCAGGTCTGTGCCCCAAACAGGAATTTTCAAACACCAAATGCTAGGTAACATAAATTGGGCTATGCACTTCATCCGGCCAGTGATCAAGGAAAAATACAGCCAACCTGAAATTAATTCTGCTCCCATTTCCAAAATGTACACAGGACAGTTCTGCCCAGCTCTGGCCCAATAAGTTCAATTTCTTTCCTATATGATTTCTCCTTTTGGTGAAATATCTTGACCTTGATGAGAATTCTAAAGTGAGCTAACACTTTAGATGGGAGATTGATTTGCACCGTGGGTGTGAACAGACAGAAGCTTCACCTCCCTGGCTTTGTCTACACAATCTAGCCTTAAGACAAGCAGATCCTGATCTACAAGTTTCTAGATGTATCATATACTTGGATTACTGTGTCTGGAACTCAAAACCACTTTACACTGTGATGCTTAGTTCAAGGACAACGTAAAAGCTTAACCAAATCACTGTCTGTGCACAGTCTGGTTAGTCAGTATTTGTTATTCAGCAAGTAGAACACATGGGCTGCCATTTTATTAAACATTTCTCTAAACAGAGTGTGGAAATCACCTTGTCAAATTCCAATACCCAGCTAATAAACTCACAGAGATAACGAAGCTGTGGTACTTGGACAAAGATTCAGTGCACCCCAACACAAGCAAGCCCAGACATCACCTCTAAGAAAAAGCACTGTAATAAATGGGAAGTGTGTCTGTCTGAAGTAGTATTATAGACCTATGAGAACCACTCAAAGAATATTTATTTTCATCTATCTAGCACAATATTTATTTTAAGATTAGGATAGCCATTTAATTTTGCTTGCACTATGTAGACCAATGTTGCTTTAAAAATAAATTTTTAAGAAATGGTACAAGAAGAAGTCTGGAAATGAACATGATACCATAATTAGTAACCCTAAATATTAATTTCAATGCTTCAGGGGCTAAATATTCAATGGCTTGTGACGTCCTTAAATAATTCAGTCTACATCCTTCCAGTAGATATCTGAGCCAGTAAATACTCACAGACACTTTGAAGATTGGAACAGTGTCAGAGTTCCAATTAGAAAATTTGCCTTTAATGTCACTCTTACCTTAATTTCTGCCTCTCATTTCAGGTTATTTCCCACATCTCTAACTAGATAATACTGATAGTACAAAAAAAAGGATCTTCTCAACATAACTCAGTATGTCATACAAAAGAAACAAGCAATTCAGCTTTTGACTTACAACCCATTGCCTTCAAGACAGGAAAAGTGATGTGCCCAAGGACCCCAGCAAGGACCCCCCCCCCAATAAAAAACCCCGCATTAAAAAAAAAAAAAACCCAACCAAAAAAAAAAAAACCCAAACCAAAAAAAAGAAAACCCACACAAATATACGGGGGAATTATTAATTTCTCTTTAGATGTTTTAATAAAACAGCTGCTTTCATTTTCCTTTTCCTTTCCTTATCACATTTTCTGGCAACTGAACAGCAGAGAGAGAGGCATTTTTGCACTTTTTGACCATGACATTGCTAGCAACTCCCATCTGCTCCACATGAAGTCTTCTGAAGAGCAATTCTAGTCAGTTTTTAGTTCTGTTCTCATTCTTTTCACATGGCAAGCACCTAAGTCATGCCTGCTTTTCCAAATTGCATGCATAGCATTTTTCAAGTTTGCAGATGAAAGGTATCTATATGCATATATCCAGTAGTTTTGCACTAACATTAATTGGACACATTCTCACTTCTGGGAACTCATAATGCCACATATAAGCTTGAAATTCAAGTTTTCAGTAATTGATAAATGGCAGTGACATTCAGTACCAGGAACAATCATCAGTCATCTTCTGCTTAAGATGGGAAGTGGATGTTTTTGAAAATCCCTTGGGCCTAATTGCACAACAGCATGTGTCCTTTTCAAAAGTCCTAAGCTGAAGGTCATACACCAAAAGCTAGTTCCTAAATCACATAATTATCAAATGCTCATATTCTGCAGTGAAGAAGACAGCAGAAATATTTTCTGAACAACCCACAACTCCGGATCTCTTTGGAAAAGTCTGTGTTATAGGAGTAAGTCCCTCCCACTCAGAAAAAGGTACAGTCAAGTCTGTAAAATGCTATCACTGGTATTTTTAAATGTTGCTCTAGCTGAGCACAAAACTGGGTTTATTTTACTACTGTTTGAACAAAAATCATTAAAAATAGAATGAAATTGATATTGTGAACTCATAATTGAACACGTGATTAATGACACTCACAAAGCCTGCTTTCAATGTAGAAAAAAAGAGACTATTTCCCCTTTCACCTCTTCAACTCAGTCAGCTTTTAGCGCTTATTGAGCTCAACATTTTGATTTCCAATAATATTTTTCTTTCCCTGAATGAAAATGTCTTTTATGTGGTACCTGCACTTAGGTAAAATTCATTGGGAAACCAAGGCCAGACAGATTTTCCTGGTGAAAAACTTAGTT